CTCCTCCAGCACCACAATTCAAAGGCCTCAGTTCTTCAGCGCTCAGCCTTCCTTATGGTCCAGCTTTCACAGCCATACATTGCAACTGGGAAAACCATAGCCTTGACTATACGTACTTTTGTTGGCAGGGTGATGTCTCTGCTTTTTAGTATGCTGTCTAGATTTGCCATAGCTTTCCTCCCCAGGAGCAAGCATCTTTTAATTTCTTGGCTGCAGTCCCCATCTGCGGTGATCTTGGAGTCCAGGAAAATAAAATCTGTCACTAGAAAATACAATTAATAAGTAAATAAAATATAAACTAATCATTAATTGAGGCAAACCTTTTCTCCAGGGAGCCTCCTTAGCATTTTAGGTGGTAGTGAGAACTACATACAGGAGTCTGTGGGACAGTCAAAACATTTAAAGTCAAACACGCATGAGATCAATGCCAAGAAAAACATTCTGGATACTTAGGTTACCCATTGTGTGACTAATCACTTCAAAATGCCCAGTGTAATAAAAGTTATTTTCCATAAGCCACAGGATGTGAGAAACATACTCATTACAATTTACTTCTTGATCCTTGCTTGGAAGACAATGTGATCAGTACTCTGGTTGTATTCGGCCCCAGGGCTTTAGTTTGTTTGCCTTCTTGTCAAAGGTGATTGTTCACTTTGCAAAAGTACACAGGGGTAGAATTGGTAGGAACCCTGTGGGGGAGCCCAGCCTTCATTGGCCAGGTATAAATTAGTGATGATGAATAAGCTTTCAACTTTATGAAAATCTTCTGAAAAGAAAAAATAAAAAAGAGAGATTTTTCAGAGAAAGTGGTTTTTGTTTAATTTTGGAAGCCAAGTGAATTAGAATTAACAGACATTTTAACAATGGGATTTAATGTAGAAATATCTTCTGCTTAACTAATAAAACTGGACTCTCAAAGCAAAATAAATATCAATACAATAATCGGAATAAAAACTTTTTACATGCAGCTTTTTACATGTGTGATGAAATATACTTCACCTTACAGGTAATATGGGGGAAATTTCTTTCTTGTAATTGTTTCAGTTTGTACTGTAACAGTTTCATGCAGCTACTTTGCACAACTCCCAATTCCCGGTTAGTCTCTACTGACATACCCAATGCCGACTTTACTCTTGTGACCTCACGCCAAAGCACAGACAGGAAGATTGTATTATATACATAGGTAAGGTATTGTCACTTCTAAGAGCCACATTCCCAAAGGCCATCTTCTAGCTGCTTTTTTGCAAGGAAAGTCTCCACTATTTTCTTCTGACAAAACACAGCTAGAAACATGATAACACGGAGAGATGGTTAAGAAACACATGTGCACGTGTTTTACCAGGTAAAACTGGGAATGAAAAATCTGTTTTGTCCCATCATTTGACGGTGATCTAATAAACCTGATTTTCTTTTCAAAATGCAACAGGTTTGAGTGGAGCCCTTGAAGCGGCCGGGCGGCCAGTTTCAACAGCACGCCCACCCACAGGTGAAAATTTTCTTTCAAAATACGTTCTTTCTAGCTAAGAGTTCCCAAGAATTAAGCTATTCTGTATTTATTCTGTTATTGTTATAATATAGTGTGCCACATGTGTACATCTCTGCTACACAGACGTGCACAAGGAGATCTGTGTGAACAGAAGAACTTGCTACTGTTTTCATGACCTGCAAGAGGGTCAAGCAAGCTCTGCCTGAGGAAATTGCTCCTTAGTGTTGCCTGCGTGCTAGGGCAAGACTAACTGTGATTAGATTAATTGCCTAATTCTGAACTTCTGACAGAATTAGTGTGCTTCTAGAGTCAGTTTTTAGAGGAGGCCTTCAGGTGTATTCAGTCAGTATTGAGTTCTTCTCAGACATTAGCAATCCAGGTTAAATAAACAGCATGGAGAGACAGTGTGCTCCAGTCTTGCCTCCTTTTGTCACCGTTTCCATCACAGAGTAACTGCCTTCATAGAAGACCCTTGCCAGTCCATGGGGATTTTCCATGGGATTTGGAAAGTAATACTTTGCATACTTTTCACAAAGAATTGTGTACTTAGCATATTCTATACAAAGAAGTCACTAGACTTGTGAGGTGTTTGCTGAGTTGACCTCAGCTCAGCTTACTTCCTCACCATGGCCAAGTGCATGAAAGACGTCTGGCAAGTGCCAGTGGGCTGTATCCTGTCCTGATCTTTGCATCCTTAAGCACACCATGACTCTGTCTTTTTCACAGTGGGATACAGATACTGCCTTCAGCTCATAACCCTCCTGCATTTCACCACCATTTCTTCCATCTTTTCTCTTAAATACGTTAAGAGATAAAATATGGAATAGACACACATTGCCTCCTAAGGGTTAATACTGGAAGCATTCTAGGTGGAAGCACCCCTCGGTTCATACTCCCACTATGTCGTGAAACTCACTCAAGGTGCAGTCTTGCTGCCCGTCTTCCCCAGGTCACAACGGGGGCCTTGGGGCAGAAAAAGAGCATGCAGGAAGGTGTGGTGGCTGGGGCTGCAGACTTGCTTGGATTCCAGTTGGCATCCCAATCTTCTTCCCTCTCCAGCCCTAAATCTAGATGGATGAAAATGGCTTTCTAGATAAAATGCATGGTGTGAGGGGCGGCAGCAGTGGAGAACACTGGAGAGCACCACTGCCATGCTGTGCATTGGATGCTTGCAAGCTTCCAGTTTTGGAAGTGTGAGCATTTGCCGTGAGGGATTTGCTCCTTCAGTGACTTTGGTCCAGCCATTGTGTCTTTTAGCCTCGTTGACTTTACAGTGCCGGTTTGAGAACAGAATGGCAAAAACCCCATACATGGCACCACCCATGGAAGAATAGCAGGATACAAATGTGATAACAGGCCACCCTTCAATGGCTCCTGCACGTAGCTTCACTTTATGCCACATTATTGGTGCAGAGTGTTTCAGTGTCAAGCATTCATCATGTTTTCTACTTTTTAGCTAAGCGAACTAAGAAGCCTCTTGAGAAAAAGTCTGGGAACAAAGGTAGGAAACTGTGAAACTGTGCCACATTAAACAAATATCAAATGTTAATTAAAGCTCCATCTAGTTATAATTAATCAAGTTATGATTAATCAAGTTATAGTTATCTTGGGTGTTCACAGACTGTAAAGTGGATATTGCTTTTCTGGTTGATGGAAGCTACAATATCGGGCAGCGCAGATTTAATCTGCAGAAGAACTTCGTTGGGAAAGTTGCAATGATGCTGGGAATTGGAATTGAAGGACCACATGTTGGAGTTATACAAGCCAGGTACCAGAAGTATTTCCTATTTGGTGTATCACACCATCTTATAACACTATGCGTACAGTGGTATGCTCTAACTAAGAAATACTTTATTATAGTCTGTACGAGCAAACTCATTCAGTTTCCCATGAAATACCCCTTAGCTGGATGCATCATCTTCAAGCAAAATTAGACAGTTGTCAAAATTTGACATATTTATGCCCATTTCATCTGAGTAAAACCATGGCCACTGGTATCCCTAGGCACAGCTCTTATTTATTTATTATTAAATTTATATTCCACTAAACAATAGTCCAGCACGACTCTCTAAGCAGATTACAAGACACACAGAATCAAAACGATAAGAGATTATAACAATAAGACAATAATTTGCATACCAGTCAACCAATAATAAACAGACATTACATAAACACAAACCATTGCAATATGATATACAGCAGAGGCATGGTGCACCTCCTAACCCCCTGAGAAATCAGCCTGTCTATTCATTTACTGGAAGGGGGCACTGACCACAGTGGGGAGAAGGAACAGTTTCATCTTTAGATCCCAAGAACTGTTCCCTCCCAGCTTCAGTCTAGACTGGTCAGCCTTAAAGTATCTGCTGGTTAGGAAAGTCTGCCCCCTAGTGACTTCAGCCTCATGCACACATTAATTTACAATTCATTGATGTGGTTTAGAACAACCCAGTTGAACAACCCCTACTACCTCTAGTATGCAAGCTGCCAAGGTTTCACCATGCTGGAGCTATGCCACTGACAGAGAGTCACAGGGAGAGCTTATGTTATTTATCATAATGGCTAGAAGTTTGAAGTGGCTGGCCATGCCGTGTAAATCCCTGCCCGCTGAAGGTTCAATGACATCCAGGCACAATATTAAGAATACATTAACTAGCAGAAAAAAGGAGGAGGAAGTAACATGTTGAGCCCTGCCTAGAGCAATAGTTTGAGTAGAAAGAGTGGAACTTCCAGACAGAGGGCTGTTAGTGTTAACAAACAGAAAGCATTGTGCAGCTGTTCTGTCTTTTTCTCCTTAATGGATTTCCCTTAGTAAGAAAAAAGAACAAAAATGATGAAGATGTGGGGAGCACAGAAAGGTTTTGAGGGAAGATGATGCCATCTGGAATTCAGCAAGGCGATGCCATGCTAAAAGTCTCATCTGGAAGTCCTCTAGATAGACAGAAGTACTGACTGCCTACTGTTATTAGACTGGAGCATTTGGCAACCAGAGAAAAGCTCTATTTGAGTATGCCTGTGGTGCTCTTGGCTACATATCACATGGAATCACAGGTAGATCTAATCCCCATATAGGTGTCACAGTGATACGTTATTGGAGGACAAGAAAATTGGGCAGGGTTAAAGAGAGGCGGGCTTGACAGCGCTGGGTTACTTGGAGTGAGTTGGGCCAGACGTCTGAGAGGGGAAGGAAGGTAATGCAGCTGACTCATTCTGTACCCTACACTGCATACCCTGTCTGCATATTCCATCTGATTTTTCTTGACCTCTGCTCATATACTTCCCAAGTTTTTGAAAGATGGTTACTGAAGTTGCCACAAAGGCAGATTTCACAAAAAAAAAAAAAAAAAAACCCACACAAACATGTTTGCTTGTAGACAGTATTTTGATACTTGAAGTAGCTATTCTATCCATTTTTGAAAGCAATTGTTAGGATATAGTATGCATAAGTGGGACCTGCAACAAAATGGTATAGTATCCAGTCACTTATTCATGTCCTCGTTTAAATGCTCTATTTTATTCATCCTCCCTTCCTTTTCCATCCTTCCTTCCAAATAGTATAATTTGGCCATTTAGCATATACTGGGCTCCTTTAGACTCCCCCCAGTTCTGCCCTCTCCCACAAAAAGGGTTTTCTCCAAGCTTGCTGATATTTTCCTCTTCTGCATGGCTGGTGCTGTTTCAACTACATAAAAATTCATGTTCACCCTTGAACTTTGCAAATAAAGGAATTGAGGCAAGACTGGCCATCCACCACCACCTGCACCGAAGCATACAGTAGTTTTAGTGCTATGATGATCCTAAACTTTAAGGTGCTAAGTATTTATATTTAGTAACAGATCGGTTACTCTCATGAGCACAGGCTGGGGATGCTTCCAGATGAGGCTTCTACCTTTCAATTTCTCTGTTGCATTCGCAAAACTTTTTAGAGATTAGCACAAGGAACTGTCCATCTGGGAGTAATTCAGTCAAAGCAGGATTATGATTCACCCTAGGGGTGTTAATGGATTGGAGCACTGGAGAGTAACTCTTAGTTTATTGGCGTTGTCAAAAGATTCCTTATACTAGATCTGACTATCCATTCATGTCTTGCCTTCTGATCCCTTTCTTAAATGGAGGTGCCAGGAATTGTCCTGAGATCTTCCAGATGGAAAGCTCTGTCACTGAGCCACATTCCCCTCCTCAGTTTGAGAAGCGTCCTTGGGCATCTTCAGTCTGGTCCCTGCAGCTGGCCTTGTGCAAAGGCAAATAATCCAGTACTCTAACTTCTCTGGCAATTGCTTCTGAGAGAGAGAGAGAGCACCTGTAATTCTGTTTTTCCCCTCCTCTAAAAGTTAACTACCTGTGAGATCCAGATCCAGAAATTGAGAGTTTTTAAAATTGTCCACTTCTTTGCTTAAAATGTTTTGACTAAATTATGAACTCTACTGTATCCAATACTTGTCAACAAAACAATGGTGGTTACCGTCTGAATGAATTACAGAAAGAAGCAGTTTAAAATACATGTTAAAGCAAAGAAGCCAAAACATCTGGAAGAAGTTATACTGTTTATTACCAAGCTGATGATGAGTTATCATATAAATGTTTCAGTCACAATATTCCAATTATATTTGTGGACTGTAATAGCATCAGAAATGTTTCATTCAAGGGAATTAGTGTCCTCCATGTTCCAAAAATGAACAATTCTTTTGAAAACTTTTTCATAGCCAAGAAAAGCTTTTGTGTTGAAGGGTTGCCACTGAAAAAACCCTTACAAGAGATTAAGGCATGGCAGGATTTAAATTGGAAATAGCACTCCTGGAGTTAGCTATATTGTATCTCTGGCATACAGCCAATTAATATGGTAATTTTGCTTGTGATGGTGCAGAAGAAAGCTATAAAGGAGGAATCTTCAACAGGTGTTTAGAAACAATTTACCGAAGTGAGACCAATACATTTTGAGTATAAATCTTTCTTCAAGGGCAACTTTGAAGGCATTTGGTTATTTCTGTTGCTACATTGCATGTGTATCTTGTCTTTTTTTCCACTTGGAAGGGATCCAAGGCAGCTTACATAACTCCATGTTATCCTCACATATCCTAACAACCCTGTGAGGTAGCTTAAGCTGAGAGTTTGTGACTGGCCCAAAGTCACCCATTGAGCTTCATGGCTGAATGGGGACTAGAAGCTTCACCTCCCAGGTCCCTAGCCCAACACTACTGCCACAACGGCTCCTAGGAACCAGAGCCATCAAAAACTCAAAAATATATCCCATGGAATTAAAACATAGTGCTCTACATCACATTTTATTTCATCTTCTTGTTTGAATGAAAAGGCTATTTTCCAGTCACCCCTGAAGAGGGACAAATACCCAAAATGCACTGACTTCAGAAGGAACAACACCTTACACACTAACTCATTTAACAGAGCTTGGCAGTGAGGATTTAACCCTGCCCACTCCAAACGATCCAGCAGCTTTTGCCTCTGAGGGGTTCCAAGCACATGTTTACAAGGAAAAATGTGTGTTTGGAGGGCACAAAGTAAATGATAGGTAAAGGAAGAGCTGAGCATCTCTACTCTTGCTCTCCACTCCAAATCCTATTCTTAAAAAGCTGCTTTCTATAAAGAAGCTAATACTAAAAGCATTAGGGTTCTACTACGTACATGTTATGTGTATTGATCCCCTCATTTCAATAAACAGCATTCTAACAGCTCCTGCAGTCCCTCCCCATTCCTCTCTTTATTTTGGTGCTGCATGTCTGCTCTGTGTTGCTTTCCCAGCCCATGGCCCTGCCTAAGAGCCTCCCTGCTAGACCAGAGAAAAGGCTTCCCTAGGCCAGCCTTCTGTCTGCACAGCGGCTGATGAGATACACGCATTTAATATTGATGAGCTTCTTGCATGAAAGAAATTCCTAGATGATATACAAGAGCAAGTCTTCATAGGGAGGACAAGATTGCCGTCCTCAGGGCAGCTTGTTTCCTATTGGAAGCCTGCAGTCAGGACAAAAGACCCAGCAGGCACCATGCCATTCACGTTTCCCCAGCACTGTCCTACCACTGGTTGTGGAAGTAATACATAGTCAGCATGGCTAGGAGCCTTTGATGGCTCTCTCCTCCAGGAACTATCCACTTACAGGTAAAGCCCCTTCCCCAGTCATTCATAAGCCAAGACTGGAGGTGTGGATGCTGCTGATGGACTTCATGAGAGGTGGCCCTGTAGATCGTTGTGTGTGCTGGTTGCCATCAAGTTCTCGAGGCAGAAGCTAAAAGGAAAGCAAAAGGTTAGGCTGAAAGAAAAAGTAGGACAGTGAGTCTTTATTCCAACAAGAAAAACAGATCTAGGAAGAGAAATGAAAAGGTAAAACATGCTGGTTTGGAATAGATAAAACTTTCACTGGCTCAGGAATACCGAAACCAGTTATTTATTTATTTATTTATAACATTTTTATGCTGCCCCCATTGCAACAAAGCCTTGGGGCGGCTTACAATGTTTTCCTTCTGAGCAATGACTCTATGGGCTGCCTTTAAGGCTACAATCCTATGCAAATTTAGACAAAAAGCTTACAGCTACCGGCTGGGGTATGCAGGGAGTTTTAGGCCATTTTTTTTGCCTAAACTTGCATAGGATTATACCTTAGCATAAGGCTTAGATTAGCTCCTGGCGCTTTGTTATATGGACAGCTAGGTATCTAATATTATAGCAAAACCAGAGCTGACTCCCTGGCCAGATGTTATGCCACTTGCATACAGTTTTAAAAGGGTTCAGCCAGAAATTTTTCCAGCTTTTATTTGGAGATTGAATATGGAACTTTCCACATGGAAAGCATGCATTCTGTCACGGAGTTGTGTCGCTTCACCTTATCCTAACCATGACTAAGTAGGAATTTATTTTGTACCTTTTAGTTAGATTCTCTAACTTCTCTCCACAAGGTTCTCTAGCTTTGCTATGTAAAAATGTTGTTGTTATTAACAACAATCATATCCATCAAAAGGTAGCGGCTACAAAACATTCTTCTTTGATAATTGCTTTTTGAACCTGTAAAGGGTTTGGTTTGGCAGTCACCTAACATCTTGATCTCATAAACTGTGGCTGTCGATAAGGAGGGGGGGGGGTGTGTGTGGCAGGGTCCCGCTATGGGCCAGGAACATGCCAAATTAACCCTGGTGAACCTGGGACCTTTGGCTGCAAAGTATGTGTACCACCTCTGAGTTACGCCCCCGCTGAGAGAATGTGGCAAATCAAAAGAGCAGTTGGGTACCTGCACAAGCAGAAAGACTACATAGCTTAGGAAGGAGGGAGGGAGGGAGGAAGGGAGGAAGGAAGGAAGGGAGGAAGACAGACAGACAGACAGACAGACAGAATAAAGGATGGGGGTTCCTTCCAGAGATTTGCTTGCAAAGTTAAAATGGTGAGATGCACACTTGGCAAGATCAAATCAGAAAAGATGAGTCGCATTCCATAATCCCAATGGTACTAGCATATTGTCCCAGCTAAGGCAATGATGGTCTTGTGAACACTTACAGGCATACAGTGCCTGACACACACCATGGCTTAATTAAGCCACTGTTAGCATCTTTAAGCTGTAATGGTTGTGTGAACCTGGGCAATGTGATCCCTTTGCTATCTACAGCACCGCAGTGATTTGACATATGTGGTAATTAAAACACCACAAAGAACTTAATTTCCTTCTAGATAAATGTTGGTCTGTTAGTGTATACATTTTTTAAAAATCAAGATCATATAACCCTCATTTTTACAGACTTCTGTTGTATTGCATGTGATAAAATTGTGTTTCTTATGGTCTTCCTGTGAGATGTGTACCCCCGTGAGTAAGTATGGAGGCCTAATCCATTTATGTATATAGTGCCATGGGTGGAAGACTGTGAGAGGCTCAAAACAGTCAAACAAACAAACCAGGTTTCCTCCTCCATCTCCTTCCCACACAGTCATGTGTCATTACAGAGATAACAGTTAAATCATACAGCATTGTTGGAGAGATCCACAATGAATTCAAATGAGTTTGGATCTCTGTAAGACCAGCTTTTCCCTAGTCACAAAATTTCAGTGGACTTGCAGACTTTTTTATTTAGAATAATCTTATGCAAATTTGGAAAAAAGTCATGGAAAAACATAAAAAATAAAAAACTGAACGTGTGGATTTCCTCTGTAGATTAAAATGTGAAAATGCATACTTAAAGGGGGATTTGTGTGGTTTAGGCAGCTAGGGACAGTTTCTTAAGTGGGAATTTGTGGAAATGCATACAAATTCATTAATACAAAAATTTGATTCCATTAATGAGTAGATGGTAGAATGAAACACATCTGGCAAACCATAAAATACAAGTAGAATTGATTTAATCAAGCCCATATCCCCCTGTTCAGAACATAACTGAATTATGAGGCACATGGAAGCAGACCTGGGTGGGAAGAAGGAAGACCTCCCCCATTGCGCCCATACAAGCACATGGAAGGCAGAAGAAAATGTCAGTGGAACTCCAGAGTATCAACTTTAGCATGTCCTGTTACTGTTTTTTTTTGTTGTTGTTTTTTTCATAGTGAACAACCAAAAATTGAATTTTATCTCAAAAACTTCACTGCATCAAAAGATGTCTTATTTGCCATAAAAGAGATAGGTTTCCAAGGAGGCGATTCGAATACAGGTAAGTACATGCTTGTGGTGACAAAATAAGAATACATTTTTTGGAATAATTATGGATGAAATCCAAAATTACCTGAATGGAGTTCTGATAGTGAAATGGGACGTCTTTTCCCTCTCACGTTCTGCTGGCTCTGCTCCTTCCCAGTCTGCTCTGGAGAATACTCCAGCCATCCAGAATAGGCGGTTGTGATAGTGTGCAGGCAGAAGGGGAAATCATCTGCCTTCTCTGTTCCCCTAAAAGAATCCATTCTGTTAGTGGGAAGGAATAATTAGATACAAATCCATGGAACTGACTGACGACTGCTCCTCATGTGTGCCATTTTCACAGCCCAGTTTTGTCTAAAATAAAGCATAATTTTATGTAACTACAGTGGAAATAAAAAGGCAGCTTTGCCCAAGAAGGAAGTTTTGCAGAAGGTCATCTGTACATGGCAGGAAGTCTTCATGTAGAGCAGCGATGGGCAATGCGGTGCCCACAAGCCCCAGCAGCTCCGCAAACAGCTTTGGCACCAATCCAGGCCCTACGCCTCCCAGATGTTTAAAAGAATGAACAGATTTTCTTATTGGCCACTGGATCACTGTGAAATAGATCGTGGTGCTGAAAACTGTCATTTCAAAGGAATTCTTCAGTATGTTGTGGCCCAGACCCCACCTCTGTCTTGTACGTCCACTGTTTTGTGGTGGTGCCCACTACAGTTTTTCAGATCTCCAAGTTTGTTCAGTGAACCCAAGACTGCGTGTGCCTGCAGAGAGCCAACCACGAGAGTAGAAAACGGAAATACAGACACATGCTTCTGAGCACAGCCAGACAAGATCGATTTATCACCGTATTGCCACTTGAAATACAGTTTTACAAATCACCATTGTACAGCTAGGAATGTTATGATAATGTATGAGTTGGTGCATATTTCAAAACCGTTCCTATTAACTGTTCTTCAGTTCTTGGTCTGTGAGGCCGCTGTTTTGGATGTTAAACTACTGTAAGCTGTTTCCAGCTGTAATGAAACCTGATCATTAAAAGCCAATATTGTTTTCCTTTTTCCATATTAGGGAAGGCTTTGAAACACACAGCTCAACGATTTTTTTCCATTGAAAACGGGGTACGCAAAGGCATCCCTAAAATTGTTGTAGTTCTCATAGATGGCTGGCCCTCAGATGATATGGAAGAAGCTGGTATATTGGCCAGAGAATTTGGTGTTAATGTATTCATTGTATCCGTTGCAAAACCTAGCCCTGAAGAACTTGGGATGGTTCAAGATGTTGGCTTTATCGAGAAGGTGAGATGGAAATTTCCTAAATTGTCTACTTCTGTCTGGGCTTGAAGCTGTAAGAGATTCTTAAGAGGTTCTCCAGCTAAATTAAATCAGGAAGTTATAACCCTTACTGTTGCCAGTTCTGTAAAAAGAAAAGGGTGCCATTAGTAGAAAGAGAGCTGACGGCTAAGGAACAGAAAGTCACAGGATGACCGGTTATATACAGTGGTACCTTGGCTCACGAACTTAATCCATTCCAGGACTCTGGTTGTGACCCAAATTGGTTGTGAGCCAAGTTAAATATCCCCATAAGGTTCAATGTAAATGAGGTTAATCCGTTCTGTAACCATTTTTTAAATCAGAAAAATGTGAAACAAAATGACAACAACAAAGATCGTGGTCTTCTCCTCCCCTCCACCCCGAGCACAAGCGCAGCCACCTCCCTGCTCCCCACCCCCAGCATGACCAACATCGCACCTGTCATCCCAGCATGTGCCCACCATCCCGGTGCGCTGGGGGTGGGGGGAGAGACGGGCATGATCGTGGGTGCACTGGGGGAAGAAGAGACAGGTGCAAATGGTGCACTGGGGGAGGGAGAGATGGGCGCAATCTTGGCCATCTCTCACCAGCACAATTGCGGCCATTTCCCCACTCGGGGGTGGGGTGGGGAGATGGCTGCGATCGTGCTGGTTGTGGGGGATGACCAAGATTGTGCCCATCTTTCCTGCAGGAGCACACCTGTGATCACGCGCACCTTCCCTGCATGAAAGCAACTGCAATTGTGGCATTGGGTGGCGACCAAGATCGCAGCCATCCCCCCCACCGCCAGTGGAGAGATCACTGGGGGTGGGGGGGATGGCTGCGATCCTGGTTGCCACCCAATGCGGTGTTCACGACCCATGTCAAAATTTTAATGAAATTTTTGTTCGTGACCCGATTTGTTCATGAACCAGGGAGTTCGTGAGCCGAGGTACCACTGTAATAATGGTACCAATGGGTAATAATAACAACAATGGGTAAGTTATATTGGGGAACTAATGCATTTTTCAAGTATTAAATATGCTATTGAGTCCTAAGAAAATATGTGATTGCTATAATTCACAAGGGAAGATACGAGTACCTTATTGACAGAAATGCCAAAAATGACACCTTATTGCACTCCATTCCCTCAAAAGTTGATTTTGTAGAAAGGGTTTAACTAAAATCAGTTTAGTAGTAGAAGTGCAAAATCCATGGTTTGTGTTTTGTTTTTAAAATAGGCTGTTTGTCGAAACAATGGCTTCTTTTCCTACAACATACCAAGCTGGTTTGGCACTACAAAATATGTGAAGCCCCTCGTTCAAAAGCTCTGTGCTCATGAACAAATGCTATGCAGCAAGACTTGCTACAACTCCGTGAACATAGCTTTTCTGATCGATGGCTCAAGCAGTGTTGGCGATAGCAACTTCCGTCTCATGCTTGAATTTATCAGCAATGTTGCCAAATCATTTGAAATCACAGATATTGGTGCTAAAGTAGCAGCAGTGCAGTTCACTTATGATCAGCATATTGAATTCAGCTTTGCAGATTATGTCACAAAAGACGACGTTATTTCTGGTCTTCGGGGAATCCGCTACATGAGTGGGGGTACATCCACAGGAGAAGCCATTAGCTACACAACCAGAAATGTGTTTGGACCTGTAAGAGATGGGCCCAACAAAAATTTTCTGGTTATTTTGACTGATGGTCAGTCTTACGATGATGTCCGAGGGCCTGCTGCTTCTGCTCATAAAGCAGGTGAGTATCACTACCTGTGATCATACAAATTACGAGCAATCCATCATACTCCCTTTTCAAACTTCTTATTAATGACATTTATAACAAACTGAATGCAGGTGAAGCTGTAGTTATAGGATCAGTTTAAACAAAGCTGACTGCCATGGCTTATTTCAAAACATCAGACATGGTAGTTTTTGTGAAGGGTTCGGTATTTCCCAGTAACTGCATTTACGAGGATTTCTCTAAGTAGGTAACATCTGGAAAATACTTAGGCTGAAGCATAAAGGCATACTGGGGGCAATTTCATAGGTGTTCATTGCTAAATATATGGAATATATGGATATGAAAAGACTGATCTCTTTAGGATATTTGCTTAACAAAGACTTCCACTATGTCAGGTTGGGATGCAGCAATAATTAATGCTGATCCAGAATCCAAAGCACTCCCCCCTAGTGCTCTAACATCATTTCATAAACTGCTGTACAGTTTTCACCATCAGTATGAGGGAGTGGGACTGAAAAATTCTCACTATTGTTCTCTATCTTTTTTTTTTTTTTTGGTTGTGCGTTGTTCATTTTTTCTGGTTTTGTTTTGTTTTCATTTGTTTTTGTTCCCCTGTTTTCTTGATTGGGCCAAGAGCTTTTCAACATCCCCTCATAGCTCTTTCAAATTCAAGTAGCACTATCTCACAGCAATTAGGCAGAAGTCTTTATGGTGGATGATGCCTTTGGCTTACATTTTATAAATGGAAAGTATCTAGAAACAGTTGTTACGTCTGTTTGAACTTTAAATAGGCCTTTAAACAGTGTTCCTTCTTGACAATTTGTTGTAGGTATCACCATCTTCTCTGTTGGCGTTGCTTGGGCTCCACTAGAGGATTTAAAAGATATGGCATCGGAACCAAAGGAAACACATACTTTCTTCACAAGGGAATTTACAGGACTGGGACAGATTGTTCCTGATGTTGTTAGAGCCATTTGCAGAGATTTCATGGACTCCAAACAATGAATGGAAGGCTGAAGGAGACGAGTCTCAGCACATCAGGAAAGCTAAGGAGGTCTCTCTATCTAGAGCAAATGATATTCTAGCACACAAAGTTGCTAAGAGTAACTCTTCTACTTTCTTTATGCAAAACTTCTACTGATGTCAGTTCAAGTTTTGCTAGAATGCATAGGAAGTAGAAAATTTGGCCACGTTAACATTGTGTATGTATATTATATTTAATATTCCTCAGTTAAAAAGTGATGTAGATCTTATAGTTATGATTACCTGATATGTATAGAGAGAAAATATACAGCTACTCCTGGCATTAAATGCTGTCACCTAACTAGTCTCACCAATTAAAATGAAAAATTGAGATACATTGTATTAAGTGGAAAAGAATTTGCTCAAGAATGCTGTCAACTATGGTGAAAGAGTATTTTTAGTGAGTCAAAATCAAACATATTCCAGGTACTAGTGTTTAGCAAGCTATATATAGCTTGCTACAGTAAACTGATTAAAAAATTAACTCCTTTGAAGTAAATTACTACAAGGGATGAAAAGTGGCTGCTAATCAAGATGCTAATCACGAGATTACACCAAAGAGCTCACTAAACTGGCTAAGTCTGGATTTCAACAGGATACCTTAATTGTGTTCATTTTACAAATGACTTAACCATTTGAAATATTTAATCATAGTGTCACATCCTTATTACACATAATTTTTCAAACTTTTGTAAACTATTGGGGGATTCTCAATAAGCTAAATTAGTCCAATGATGTTAATGGGGGTGACGCTCATTGAAATCCTAATGCTGTAGATTAAATTACTATGGATTTAATAGTCCTCCAAGCAACTGCAAAAATAGCTTTTCCCCATGTTTACCATGCTTTTGGTTGTAAAGTTTACAAGCAGTTATGAAAGTATAAACGAGATCATGTTTATCTGGCTTTTAACATTTTTTGAAAAAAATAACTATTGTCATGGATGTTTATTCATGTTAGCACAACACATTTCTAGAAATGCTGCATGTTTTCTGACAAAGCCTCTCTTTAAAAATAATGAAAACTGAATTTTAAGAGGTGCATTGTAGTATTGTAGAGCAAAAGTGGCTGTCACCAGGCCTTACACCAGCATGCCTGAGACACACTCATATCCTCATTCTGGAAGAAAATGCCAGAATCATGCTGTCTTCCTAAACTTTGCTCAGTCTGCATGTACGAACCATTAGGAGGAGGGAAGGGAATCATGTGTATGCTGCAATTTTGCAGGGGCACAGGAAAAGTGCAGCTATGGCACTGGGTGCAAAATTCCTAGGCAGGCTGGAGAAAGTTTGGACTCAGGCTATTTTCTTCTGTCTCATACAATGGATTGCATCCTTTATTTGAATAGCTTTGTGCATCTTATAGCTCATCTTTTCTTAGTGCAGAATCTAAACAGCAGTGGCACAAGATTTTGTTTCTCTTTTTTGATGTAAAGCACACACAGTCCTGCCAGCCATTTTATTGCATACCATGGAAAGGGAAATGGCAAGGCCTGTAACTAAAGGACACCAGCCAAAGGAGGAGATGTCCTACCTGCCCCAACCTGCAAACACACTGCAGCAATTGAGGGAAGTACTGAATCTCTGAATACAGGAAAGGATAAAAATGTTCTAAAATGATGCTGTGCCTGCAAACTAGCGAACATTTGGAGATGAATGAACAGCAATGAACAGCAAACCTAAGTTTAATTTGACAAATTATAATATATTGATATGTGTGGGAGAGAAGGGAAGATCTCTAGTTCTTCAAGAATCTCACAAGGTTCCTACACTCCTCTAAGCCTCAGGATCTAATCTTTGCTTTTAAAAATAGTTGAGATAGGAAATAGGCAAGGGGATTCTGAGGAATGCTCAGTGCTAATTTATTATGTATTAGTATTAAATTAAATTAGTATTACATTATTAATATTAAATGTTTTAGAAGGTTGTTTCCCTGACACAAAGATGAACCAACACATAAACAGTCAAGGTAATTTCCTTTGTTTAAAGAATCTATTTAACAATCAGGTGCAGGTCAGTTGCCAGTAATAGCACACATTAACTCTTTTAAGTATTCGTATCTGATCAGTGGAATATTGCATACTCCCAGCCATTTCTGTAACATTTTGGTGTGAACAGGTTTCCAGTTGACTGTTCTGTTCTCTCATTCATTCCTGCATGCAGTGCATCAAGGACGTTCTTTACTCCAATTTCTGCTTCCTTCTGGCAGCCTTTCTGCAAACTCTTACAGAAGGTCTACATTCACATGACAGTGTGCATAAGAGGCATAACTAATCACATCTGAACCAAAATTCAGTAGTTAGCTTAATCACATCCTGCTCATTGAGAGATAAGTATCATATTCTATATACACGTATACTGCCTTAAAAGTATAGTGATTCCATTTGGTACTTACTGCAGAGGCATGAAGGTGGGGACACCAAACCTACATTTTGTATACACATTTGCTTAACGTGTCTATAAAGCAAAAGATCGTTGTGTTTTCTTAAATCATATAAGAAGTCTGGTTTCTAATAAAACAAAATGAAATTGGAATAGCGAATAGGTTTTTATCTGGAATGCACAAACATTAGATTAGTGACTACCACCACTACAAATAGTTTACCTTCTGCATACTTTTCTGCTTTAATATTATATCATAGGGGATGAAGCACATGGAAAGAAAATATAAATGTTCCACCAATTAAAGTTAATTTTTCCATTTCCTGTTCTAGCCAGCCTTTAATGTTACAGCATTGTGAAACCTGATTTTAAGGTAAGCAGTTGGATAAAAAAAAGCAGCAGCAGTAGCAGCAGCAAATGTCCAAATCTACAAAGAGCGATCCCCATGCAGGAACAGCACTCTACACTTACACACACTTACACAAAGAACAGAAAAAAACCAAGACATATATTGCAATGGCGTATCCTCAGGAATGCTCAACAAAAATATGTGAAGGAATAATGTGGATAAGGCAAAATCAGGTTACATTTTGCAGCATGACTTGCAACAATGCCAGCCATTATACTCCAAGAGACAGATGTACTACTGCAAGCTTTTGAGAATGGAACAGGGCTTTCCATACTTGTTACAATTTAATTATGATTTAATTGAAGTCTTCCTACCCATTCAATTCTGCTGTTTCTAAACTTCAGCAAGTACCCCTGAACTTTTAGACCCATTTGTTGGTGGCATCAGAAGGACATGGCATGGGGGTGGAGGTCGGGAATGAACATTCACTAAATGGCTGCTGTGGTATATATGGCTGTTGACAAAACACCCATTTCACAGATGGCAAACTGGTGAAACGTAATTCCCCAAGATCCTATTTCAAAGGCAATAGTGATATCTGAGCAACAAAACCACCAGTTAGAACCCAATTTTTCTTTTCCAATGGACCACCCATTTCATGGAATGAATTCTGTCTTTGGCAATATTTCCTCCCTTCTGTCTCCTGTGATGCACAAAAGAATCCCAAAAGAGAAACCTGCACACACTTGGGAGGGTGGTAAAGTGTGCGTGTGTGCATGCCTGCTAGATAGTCCTACTATTCCTTCCAAAAGATCCTATCTGCCTTCCCTTTCTCCTGATCTCTCACAGGACCCCTGCCGCTCTTTCCACCTGATCAGGTCTTACCCGACTGGCTTCTGCATTCCTTCTATGACTCTGGCTTTCCCCTAGAACCTCATCACCTTATTATCCCCTCAGACTGCACCTGCTGTTTCTACAGCCCATTCTACCTCAGCCTTTCTTATTGTTATAGGACTTCTGCACCCCTCAGCACTGTTCAACCAGCAAAAATCTCTCTTCTCTCTGCAACTAATCCAATGGTCTACTAATTAGGATGGAAGTGGGTATATGCAGCAATGGCGAAGGTGACCATTTACTTGACTTTCTCTCATTAGTTTAAGTAGTGGAAGTGGATTTATGGTTAAAGTACATACTGCTCAGGCTGGTATGCCCTTGATTTTGACTTTTTCAAAATAAATCCTTATTTCATTATGCTGTGATGCACTGAACAGTATGGACCCCATGATTAGCTCAAAGCGATGTTTGATCTGTATGATCTGGAGCTGCACATTGCCCCTACTCTCTATTTTAATTCAGGTGTTGCCGAAATGAGCAATAATGATATAAAGAGACCTTCTGAAGGATGAGACTTTGTGAAAGGAAGATCCTTCACTTAAACTTCTTTGGCTACTAGTGCTCTTAGGTTCTGTGATATAACAACAAAACTCTTGCAGAAGCTATTCAGATCAGTATACAGATATAACATAAAACTTGTCCTTTTATTATTCACAGTAGAGTGCACTACACCAACATCTATTTCAGAGCTTTGTCAACAAAATCCAGCAGGGCATAGTAATAGCATGTAACAGCACACCAGTGTGTAATGTCAATGCAACGTAAGGGACGTGTTGCTTGACTGATCTTGTTAATAAGGGTGGAGGCTTACTCTGTTCCACTTTCCTACAAGTCTGCACCAAGGGAGAATTTAACCTTTTGGGGAGGGAGGAGGAACTGTTTGTCAAGGTTTAAATGCAAAAAAGCTGTGTATAGACAGTTTACTCCATTTTTAAGGTTCTCAGAACTATAGCAATGTTAACATGTCAGTCACCTTTTTTCTTACACACAAATTGTGTATTATAAGTAATTTGCAGTGAAAATAATTGTGCTCTGATGCATTTTCATTTCTCTTAAAAATACCAGCGATGTGAGTTGATTTACATGGCACAACTGCACAAGGAGTCTTTTTCTTCTCTTCCCTGGTTACCTCAATCAGAATTTGAGCATTCCAGGGACGCAGGGATCGGGGGAATCCATTCCACTGGTAGATGGAAAGGAATGATACCTAGTAAGTGAGGAAATATAGTTATTCTGGAAGGAAATAATCATGGGATTATTCTTCTGTTGAGTTATTCCCCTCCAATCTCAACAGTCTTTGATCAAGTAAAGGCTCTGCTCATTGATGAGGGCATTTTCACTGTTTCTCCTTCCTGCTGCCACTCTATATGCCATCTTCCATCTGGAACAGGA